CTAAATTTCATTATACATATAAAAATTGGTTGATCCTTTGAAGCTAGTCCTTCTGAACTCTTTAGGTTGATGTTTAATGTTTTTTAAAGTATTATATAGATTGATGTAGAAATTAAAAATAAGAAAATGTGTTTTCAAACAAAGGTCTTGTTAATGATTTTCAGTTTTGTTCAAGGTAATTCAATTAACAGTTTTTCAAATATTTAGAATATTTATGTATGGAATTTGGGTTAAAAAGCGCCCGTGTTGATGGGGCTAAAGGCAAAGTAATTGACATGATGATAAACAGCTGTCTGACTTTTACATTTGTTGACATGACATAGTTAGATTCAAATGTGACCCTGGAGCACAAAAGCAGTGTTAAGTCGCTGGGGGATATTTGTAGCAATAGCCAAAAATATCATGGGTCAAAATTATTGATTTTTTTTTTATGCCAAAAATCATTAGGATATTAAGTAAAGATCATGTTCCATGAAGATATTTTGTAAATTTCCTACTGTAAATATATTAAAACTTAATTTTTGATTAGTAATATGCATTGCTAAGAACTTCATTTGGACAACTTTAAAGGCGATTTTTTACAATATTTTGATTTTTTTGCACCCTCAGATTCCAGATTTACAAATAGTTGTATCTCGACCAAATATTGTCCTATCCCAACAAGCAGCTTTGAGAAGGTGTATAAATCTCAATTTCGAAAAGTTGACACTTATGACTGGTTTTGTGGTCCAGGGTCACAAATAGTCAATAGCTTTTAATAAATTAAGTCTCCACCTTAGAGATAAATCCCATGTTTATACTGAAAAATATGGTAGGTATTAATCATGTCATGTAATAAAATATATTTATTGTTACTACTGTAGCAAATGTTCCTTATGGTGTTCCTTTAGCCCTGTTGTACCCTATATGTTGTAATGATTTTTGATGTTAGCAGTTAAACAAACCAAAATAATTATGTAAATCTTTTAAAACCATTATTTACTTTCATGATAAAACTACTACCAGGCACAGTAATACAGATCCAAAACAGCATGACAGCATCTATATTCACTGGCACATTTTCAACCATTGTCAACAGCCTACTGTCTTTTGTCAATTGATTTTGCATAATCTCTCTAACACAACTCAAGCATGTTTTCATTTTTGGAGAAGAATTTACTCACTCACTCTCAAGTCCCAGTCAGGGGCTTCTTTGGCATAATGGATGCAGCATTTGGGCCTGACATGTGAATGGACTGCAAGGATTAGTGTGGATTAATGCGGAGTTTGCCTGATGGCTGCTGAGATTTATTTTAGCGGTACAATGTGTTATTGCTCCCATCAGGCCGCACCCACCCATCTTTGTAATAAGGTTGGATAATGCCGGCCCCTGTTTCCAACTTACGAATTCATTGCTCCTCGTGTGACAAGGTGGAGGTTGAGTGACAGGTTAAACAGCTGTGTGAAAACAAAAACATCACTCACCCGTGCCGAATGCTATTATTAAGACATCAGCATGAACAGCAGTCACTGTAGCCTTTGATATCAAACGTGCAGATCTGTCATTCGGCATGAGGATCTGTTGACGCATTACCGCACCGTTGTGACCCTTTACTTATTAATCTGTCACAGCAGTTGTATGCGAGCTATTAGAAATGCATTAGTTCTGGTTTAGTTTAATTCTCAGCCTATACATTTGAAATGAGAGGGGATAGAATTAATCTAAAGGACTGATTGCACTTCCATCATTCAGATGAGTATGTGGAAATAGGCAGTGTGTGGCAAATTTCTCCAATTTCTTCCACCAGTCTTTACATGTCTGTTATTGGACAGTCCCCAGTCACACAGAGAAACACAGTCATGATTCTCCCCCATTTTGCCTAAAACTGACATTGCTGGGAAACTGTGGTAATAGACTGCTTATGCAAGTCTCTCTCTAAGGGGCCTCTTCCTGTCTCTCTGTCTCTCTCTCTCTCTCTCTCTCTCTCTCTCTCTGAGGTCATCGGTAGCCAATTACTTCTAAAGGCTACTACAGTGACCACAGAAGTATTTGGACACTTAGGTTACACTTAAAAATGTATGAATGTTGTGGCATTAGATGACAAAAGCAAGTGGAATTTTTCACAAACAGGCTTTACATAAGCAAAATATTTAACGTATAGTGGATCGTGTTCATAGTTAACTTGATTCACCTGTGGTTACTCTGCTAGGACACCTGTGCAAACTAGAGGAGAAATTACTTTGTCGACTACAAACAAACTGTTACATCAGTTGATTTCAGTCAAAGCTAAATGAGTGAGTCTGAAGGTCTAGCATCATTCTTGCCTTATTTCCAGACACCATATCTTTGATTATGTTTTTTGATACATTTTTCAATGTGGCCTAAGTGTCCAGATGGCTGCACTTCTTAACATTACAAACAATGTTAAGCTAAGCGTTACATTTAGCTTGCAACCTAAGGTTGCTTCAGTAATGTTAACAGTAATGTGTGCCTGAGCACTAGACTTTTTTAGACCAGTGGCATCCAATCTTATTTTTATTAATACTTTTTACGAATCTTACTCTTGCTTTGAACAAAACCGATAAATATTTGAATCTCTAAATTGCTTTGAGCGAGTTTCTCAATACCACATACTATTATTAAATACTACTAAAACTATTTGCTCTGGAACAACGAATAGATTCATGAGACCAAAGATTTACCCAAGACGAATTATATCTCATGTTTTGAATCAGCACTATTTTATCTTAAGTCTATTTATATCTTAAGTCTAAACAACTACCTTCTTGCCTAATAAACTCTTAAAACTACATCAACTACTTTACTTTCTTTAAAGCTGCTTGAAATGATGTATTTTGTGAAAAGCCCTATACAAATGAATTAGATTTAATATTCATTTATTTTAAAGGGGTCATAGTATGCCCATTGCCCACAAGTGGATATGATTCTTTAGGGTCTTGATGAAAAGTCTGTAGCATAGTTTGGTTAAAATGTCTTAATGGTAGTGTAAAAGACACCATTTTTACCTTGTTCACTGGGTGGATTTTTATCATTATAGGGTGGTTGTGTACACAGACTGCCAACACACATTTCAGTTCAAACAACTTCTAAAAGTGCATGTAGCATCCTATGACCCCTTTAATAATATTTTGACTTGAACTAATTTAGCTGTTACCACCTGAAGCATTTTTCCAGTGTAAAAATGTGATTCATGTGTCTCAATGAACTGCTTTTAAGTACTTTAATAATTATTAATATTATTTTATTATTTACTACTGTCATTGAATCTCTGAATCAACATAAATGGATTCATGTGTTTCATGTGTTAACATCTAAATTAGTTGAGTTTATTCAAGTCACAATTATTATTAATAAATTAATTCATATTCAAATTCCATAATCAACCTAGGTTAAACATTAACTTAAGGGTTAGATTAAAGAAGAAATGGTGCCTTAAGGTTTCAGGGCACCACCAAAAGTTTAAGATTTAATAAAGATAGTTTTACACCAGTGTGTGGCTGGTAAATTGAATATATGTTCACACCTATGGTATCCGTCCATTAGTATGCACACGTACGCTATACAATGCTAATGCTCTTCATTACACTAATTACACAGTGGCCCCACTGGTTCCTGTCGGCTGACACAGACCAAACACAACTGAAACAAATGACAGTGATGACTCATGCACGGCTGTTTCTGGATCTTAAGCACAGCATCTACTGTTTAATAACTCATGCAATATGCTTCCTATTGTGTCTGATATGACAGTGTTGTATTTGAGGCTGAGTGGGAATGCCAGTTCGGAGGGCCCTGCTGTGAGAGCTTGACTCTTACACATTCACGGAGGCTGGCAAACAAAAACAATTTGACTCCCCAGTTCCTCTGAGCCTATTATCTCTATTTATGCCAGCTTTGCACAGTGTCAAGACAGCTTGACGGTAACAAATGAAAGTTTAAGAGGTTGAGAGCCACAGTTCCTGCTGTCTGTTATTGCTTCCTATTCAAGTTTCATCAAGTGAAGAATAAGAGCTGCTGAGGAATTATTAATCCAGAGATGTATTTTCTAGACCAAGTTTTGCATAGGTTAACAAACACAATGTTCAAAAAGAAAGAACAAACACGTTTTAATTTACCAAAAGCCAATGAAAAGAACTTCAACACCATGGATCCTAATGTTTTGCGTTACATATGCACTTTCTCATCAGTTGTCAAATAAGTTAAATATCATTTAATTCTACTTCAACATTGTAATGCTAGATCACGGAATCGGTGTCTTTCTCTAAACACCACACTAAATGCAGTACTCTGAAATACGAGTAACAGCACCAAATGATGTGTTGTGAAAGCATGAAAATATCTCTGCCACAAAAATACCATAAAATTGACCACATAACTCATCACAATTAATTACATTCAGTTCGCCGCAGATGTTCTGAGGTTCTAAATGTTTCATTTTCCACGTTATCACATGACACATTGCATCACATCCAGTGTTATTTTGTACCGGGACCGATGATCCCATACGCTTTCAGAACATAATTACAATCTCAACAATAACGTATCTATTACTTGATGACCGTAAATGAGCGCTCTGCCACATCTGCATTTTTATTTTACGGCCATCTGTTCTGCTAGTCGTGGTGTTTAGCTTTCACAGTTTAATAATGAATCAGAGGCTTTGAAGAGAACAAGTACCACAGAACAATATACATGTTCATTACGGCAATAATGGGATGGCCATCTCATGATTGACCATCTGCCCTCTTGTTTTGGAAAAAAAAAATGTTAAGTCTCATGAATAAGGCAAGACGTAAAGGAAATGTAATGAGAGTGGAGAGGATGAGATAGATATTTATCAAGCAGCGATGTATTCAATTCAGATTACACTGGATTTTATTGCAAATGACTGAAATAGTCAGTGATATTTCAGATATTTATGGAATGACGAACATATTCTCCACTCATTTGCAGTAAATACACAACATTTGTTCCATTGAATTGCAGTTTTGCCCAGCGCTTTAACATTATTACTGTACAGCTTCTTTAAAATAAACAAGACCTCCACAAAACATTCAAAGAAACATCTACATTTCTTTTGATAAAACATTGCTCCTCTGACTTCGGCAAGTCACTTGTGGATTCAGTAATCTGTTCATTGTCTGAAAAAGACACTGGGAACGCACAGACCACCCTTGTGTCATTCTTTGGGGAAGTATAGCTTTTTATAGAGATTAGCCTCGCTTATGGGACACCCCCTGCTCTCCAGCAGAGCAGGAGGGCTCTCTTCCCAGAGTCTTAATCCCAAATCCCCCCACCCTGCCTTCCTTGGCAAAGGATTGGTGTGACATTGCTTTTCAGTTCTTGTTCAGGCTAAGTGTTTCCATGCTATGGCTTCCTGGACAGAGTCTCTGGCATCCCAAAAGGATGGCAAAGGCTCGGCGAAAGTCGACATTGAAGGCATATATGATGGGGTTGAGAGACGAATTGGCCCATCCGAACCAGACAAAAACATCAAATGTTGTTGGACTGATGCAGGGGAGACCGGCCGACGTGCGCTTACAAAACGGCACCATGCAGTTCAGGATGAAGAAGGGCAACCAGCAGCACACGAAAACCCCCATTATAACAGACAGCGTTTTTAAGACTTTCGTCTCCCTTTTGAAGGACAGTTTGAAGGAGCTCTCCGTGTCCACGTTGGAGCTGCTGCCCATGCTGTCGTGGCGGATCTTGGCGTTCTCCGCGGCCCTTTCCAGAGCCGAGATGAGTCGGATCTGCTTCTGGGCGATTCGGTAAATCTGAGTGTATGTTACAATCATGATGGCGACGGGAATGTAGAAGCTGATGAGCGAGGACGAAATGGCGTATGTTCGGTTGAGGCTGGAGTCGCAGTTGTCCGTCAGCAGTGCCCTGTGAGACGCGTTGACCACCGGGAAGCTCATCGGCTGAGCCTTGTGCCATTTGAGCTGCACCGGGATGAAGGAGATGAGCACGGACAGGGTCCAAGCCCCGCTGATCATCACAAAGGCCACCCTGGGAGTCATCTTCCTTTCATAGCGGAACGGGCTGGAAATGGCCCAGTATCGGTCCACGCTAATAACGCACAGGTTCAGGATGGACGCCGTGGAGCACATGATATCGAAAGCCACCCAAATGTCACAAAACGCACCAAAGGGCCAGAAGCCTGCAACCTCTGTCACAGCCTTCCAGGGCATGACCAGAATGGCCACCAGCAGGTCTGACACCGCCAGCGAGATGACAAAAAAGTTTGTGACTTTAGAGCGCAGGTGGCGAAACTTTGTGACAGCTGCACAAACCAGTGTGTTCCCGAGTAAAGTGGAGAGGATTAGAACGGACAGAAAGCAACCGGTCAGAACCCGCGTGGAGCGGTCGCTTTCCATGAAGCCGCTGTCAATGACCGTCGTCAAGTTCAAATCCATCACTGCCATTATCCAGTGCATCTAATATCTCACTGCATCATGAAAGTGTTCAAACACTTCATCTTAGTTGGCTGCGTATTCCCAGTTCATATTCCATTGCACATAACACTGCCCTGCATTCCAGTGTCAATAAAGTCCAGTTCAGTTATACTGGCATGCCAATCAGAGAAACATAATCATCTTGTAGTAGCATCAGTGATCCTCCATCCATCAAAACAAAGTTCAATTGATTACTCTGCACACAGTTTTGACTCACCCATCTGGAGATCCCTGGAGTGGTGATCATGCAGGAGTCAGACCCGTTTCAGATTCCAGTGAGCAATAACCTGTTCCTGCATTTCTGTGTGTCAACAAAGGGACAAAATTAATATTAAGAGAATAAATACACACGTCACCTACTATTTTCTCTATAATAGCAAGCAAATAACGTTAAACTGACCTGTTAGATGATACTGAAGCTCTTCGTTTTTGCATTTATCCGAATAAATGTTGCACTGTTTGCTCTTTGAACCGTCCTGTCTTTAAAACGATTCATTTGAATAGACAGGAAAGAAAACTTGCTTCGTGTCCGTCCTCGAGGCTTGACTCCAGCGCACCTTCATCCTGTCGAAATGAAGGTTTTCTTCAGGATGCCCGAGCGCCTGAGCAATGCGCGTCGATTGCGCGATCGGTGAGACCCGACGCCGAGTGACATGACAAACGCACTTCACACCGAGATGTGCCGTGTCCGAGCCCGAGGGGCTTGAGAATTTACTCTAACAGTAGGTCTGAATTAAAAAAAAAACAACAAAAAAAAACACTGGGAGTCACAGAAGAGCTCTGATGCTCTAATGCGCTCTAATGTTACGATTCTATTACGATTGAACTTGAACGATTCATGATGCGTTCGTTTTATTTTATGCTCAGGCTATGAATTACATGACTGCGTTTCATTATCGCTCTTACACTTTTTTCTCTTCAGTAGGCTACTGTATGAATGCATTTCCAGCTCATTAATTCACTTGAGAGCTGCAGATTTATTTTCACTGCTGATGTTGATACCTGAAATAAGGAAATGCGTCGTAAAACTCACATATTTGGATTGTCAGATGTTACAACCTAAATCAAGTCAACGAGGCCACCTAATGGGGAGTCCTATAGCCAGTGTTGGGGAAAGTTACTTTTAAAAGTAATGCATTACAATATTGCGTTACTCCATAAAAAAAGTAACTAATTACGGTACTTAGTTACTTTTTATGAAAAGTAATGCGTTACGTTACTTTTGCGTTACTTTTAAAATCTGGACAGGGCTTGCTTGTTTGCTTTTAAAATAAAAAAGTTCTATTTTTGGCAAATATAAAAGCCTTTTCACATCAAACGTGAAATGAATAAACCTCAGGCTGAAGGGAAAGTACATTTACATCCGTACAGTAGAATGCAGAAGAAGACATTTCAACACTTCAGCAATAAACAAAGACACAAATGTTTGTCTAGAGTAATTTGTGCTTATTAGTGTTGAACTGGATCATCGAAGACATTGGTTAATAGAATGGGATTAAATACATAAAGCATATTTGTGTTGTTTAACATTTAATTATTGCAGGTTTGCGTCATATTCTGAGTTTGCGTTTGTGTTTTAATTCATTTTGATGAATACTAAATCTGTTTTTTTGTGAGTGGGATGAATTAATGCACATTCACATTTAGTCTAGAACTACAGTAACATCATGTTCACACAGCGCACACACAACGCCTCTGTACTCTCGATTTCTCCCAGTATGGGGACAGGAGAGCTGTCAGTCAATAAATGGGAAAACAAAGTAACTGGCATTACTTTTTTGAAAAAGTAACTCAGATATTTTCTTGTAAATTAAAAAAGTAATGCGTTACTTTACTAGTTACTTGAAAAAAGTAATCTGATTA